TATATATATGATAAACTTGACAATGGAAGCTACCAGAGCTTTGGCGAGCGAATATAATGGGGTAGGCTAGGAGCAAAGTGAGAAGAAATCCTAGACAAGTATTTGTTAGATCCTTAAAGGGAGTCACACACATGCACTGATGTGTGAGGCACTGAGAACATCAGTAGCTCAACATTCAGCCCACTTATAAAATGTAAATTCACTTGAAAAGAGTTGGATACTCCAATACATAAAATTGCCTACCACAGAGCAAACAAGCATGATATATTTTCATGGAGGATAAATTTTCATATTGATATGTTAAAATAAGTTCAATGAGATCTTTCTAAAGTGTCTAAAGTGGACTTGTCTATATTATTGTTTCAGAACAAATTTCAAGGAATGGTCTTTGATTTTGTAACCAAACAAGTCTTTGACATCAGCATCATGATCCTCATCTGCCTCAACATGGTCACCATGATGGTGGAAACTGACGACCAGAGTCAGGAGATGACGAACATCCTGTACTGGATCAACCTGGTGTTCATTGTGCTGTTCACGGGCGAGTGCGTGCTCAAGCTCATCTCCCTCCGCTATTACTATTTCACCATCGGATGGAACATTTTTGATTTTGTGGTAGTCATTCTCTCCATTGTTGGTAAGAAAAGGAGCTTTTCCTTTAACAATTAACAGGGCCAGATATGGTGACAAATGCCAGTCATTCCAGCATTCAGGAGGTTAGGGCAAGGGGATCTCAAATCCCAGCACAGCTTGAGGCTACATAGTAAGACCCTGTCTCAAAAAACAACTGAAAAAAAAAAAAAATGAAAGGAGAGAATTGACTTTCTGTTTTAAAGCTTTAGAGATATTTCTCACTAATCTTTCTTATTGACTTCAAAATTTTTGGTTTTTCAATTTTCTGATTTCATCTGTTTATGAAGTGATGTGCTTATTTTTTTTTCTTTTTATTATCTTGCCTCAATTCAAAAGCCAGTAACTGTAACTTGGCATAATGGTCCTGTGCTTAGCCATAGTCCAGAGAATAGATGACTACTGCTTTAAATGAACAACTTACACCACGTGCTCATAGAGCATTAGAAGCAGTCAGTGAATAAATATGATGTCTTCGATAATTGGGGCAGTTTATATGTACATTCATATATGTGATCACATGCATAGGCTTCATGCTTTCCTTGAGTTCAGATAGCTTTCTGCAGTTTGTAATATTCCTTTTTAGAAGTAGACATTGTACTCAGAGGTCTAAAACAATCCAATGTCATCAAAATATGTTAATTGTTCATGTATAGAATGTTAAGAAACTGAAAGTAAATACAAGAAGATCTATGGCAACTTTGGCTTTTATTTATTTGTTTGATTATTATTATTGGTACTGAGGATGAATGTTCAAGGCCTTGTTAGGTAAATGCTCTACCACTGAACAACATCCCAGTGACCAGGTTGAGCATATTTGAGAAAAGGCAACACATATATTGAGAGGAAAAAAATATATAAAGACATGCCTCATTGTTTTATGCTTTTTAGATAATATGTTTTTTAATTTTTTAATTTATTTATTTTTATTTTACATGTGTGAGTGTTTTGCCTGCATGTATGTAAGTGCACTTGTGTCATGCAATCCCCACAGAAGCCAAAAGATGATGTCAGATCCCCTAGAATTGGAGTTGTGGACAGCTGTTAGCCGCCATGTGGGTGCTGGGAACTGAACCTGGGTCTTCTGCAAGAGTAGCCAGTGCCTTCAATCACTAAGACATCTCTCCAGCCTCAATAGTATGTGCTTTGCAAACTGAAGGTCATGGCAACTCTGCACTGAACAAGTATGCTTGCCCCATTTTTCCAACGGAGCAGAGAATTGATAGCATTTTAGCAAAAAGTATTTTTAATTAAGATACATATTTTGGACATAATGCTATCTTATACTTAATAAATAGCAATATATTATAAACATATACTATTACTTGCACTGAGAAACCAAACGATTCATGTGGTTCATTTTCCCAGCGTATTTGCTTTATTATGGTTATTTGTAACCAGACCACATTAAATGGAGGAGTGTCTATATCATTGTTTATACTGCTTACCAACATTGTACAAGTTACCAAAGAGTATTATCAGGTAGTAAGACAGTAATAAGAAATGAATAATATAAAAGCTTGACCTCACAGGGTGTGAGAATAGAGTGGTGGTTACTAGAGGCTGGGGAGAAGATAAAGAAGGAGGATGAGAGAGGTTAACCAAGAATTCCACAGAAGCAAGAGTTCTGGTGCTCCTGCACAGCAGGTTCACTACAAATAACAGTACTGTGTTGGATGCTTTAAAAAGCTAAGGAAAGATTTTGAGTATTTTCACTATAAGGTTAGTGTTTCAAAAAAGATGTTTAACATGATTAAGCACTGCAGAGCATCCACATGCATGGAAACATTAGGTGGTACCCCACAAATATGAAAAGTTTAATGCATTGGTTACAACATTTTTTATAAGAAAAGAGAGGCTATTTGAGGGTAAAAAGATCTACCTCGAGGGTTCCCTTGTTCTACCTTTTCAGCTCTTCTACCAAGGGCAAGTTAGGTTAGTTCTCCAATGCCTGGTTTTCCAAAAACTAAAGGACTAATGAGTATTAAATATGACTATTCAAAAAAGTTTATGTGGCCCTGCATTTATTAAGAAGAAAAGATTGAAAATGTTAGGCATAGCAGCAACATGGGACTGGAGAGATGGCTCAGTCATTTAAAGCACTGACTGCTCTTACAGAGGACCTGTCGATTCTCAACACCCACCTGGCAGCTAACAACTATCTGTAACTACAGTTCGAGAGGATTCAATGCCCTCTTCTGATCTCTATGGGCATTGCATGACACGGGTACACTTACGTGCATGCAAGTAATACACTCATACATGAAATAAAATTTAAAAATAAAAATAAATTACTAATAAGCATAGCAACACCGAAAGTTGACTCATTTGCTGGGGTTCAGTTCCAATTGAGTCTGTCCCACAAGCCTGTGTATTCTGTACATATATTCAACTATTTCAAAGAGAAAAGAACTCTCATCATGAGTACTCGTCTAGAACATATCATTGAAAATTACGTTTCAGGGCTGGAAAGATAGCTCAGTGGTTAAGAACTCTGGTTGTTCTTGCAGAAGACCAGGGTTCGAATCCCAGCACCCACGTGGCAGCTAACAACTATCCATAACTCCAGTCCCAGGGGATCAGGCAGCCATTTCTGACCTCTGTGGGCATTGCACAACATGGCTGCACTTACCTACATGCAGGCAATACACACCTACACATAAAATAAAAATAATAAATAAAAATTTTTTAAAAAGAAAATTATATGTCTCATCTTCCAGCTCACAAATAATAGCACTAGTATTTTGAAAGTATAAACCCATTTCTGTGCTTAGCTGATATATACTTTGTGATATCTTTAAACATCTAGTAGTTTGGGCTTGTTTTAAAAACAGTTATTATAATGAAGAAAAAAATGACCATCAATGCCTTCATTTAGGACAAAGATGTTAATGGCATAACACCAAATGTATTAATTTCCATTTTAGTGAGTAAGTATCACAGATTATTTGCACACAGATATACAGAGATGCACAGGAATATACATATATCTATTTCTGTCTAGGTATAATAGGTAAAATTAGGCATAAGCATATGCACATATTGATATATATCTAATTCCTATATGCACAGTTTGTAGATGGTACTTGTCTTTGTTTACTGCTATCATTAACACAATTGGTTATTGGTTTTCAATAGGAATGTTTCTTGCTGAGCTGATAGAGAAGTATTTTGTGTCCCCTACCCTCTTCCGTGTGATCCGCCTGGCCAGGATTGGCCGAATCCTCCGTCTGATCAAAGGCGCCAAGGGGATCCGCACGCTGCTCTTCGCTCTGATGATGTCACTTCCTGCTCTGTTTAACATCGGCCTCCTGCTCTTCCTGGTCATGTTCATCTACGCCATCTTTGGAATGTCCAATTTTGCCTATGTTAAGAGGGAAGTTGGAATTGATGACATGTTCAATTTTGAGACCTTTGGCAACAGCATGATCTGCCTGTTCCAAATCACCACCTCTGCGGGCTGGGATGGACTCCTAGCTCCTATTCTGAACAGTGCGCCTCCCGACTGTGACCCTGACACAATTCACCCTGGAAGCTCAGTGAAGGGGGACTGTGGGAACCCATCTGTAGGTATTTTCTATTTTGTCAGCTACATCATCATCTCCTTCCTGGTTGTGGTGAACATGTACATCGCCGTCATCCTGGAGAACTTCAGCGTTGCCACTGAAGAGAGTGCAGAGCCCCTGAGCGAGGACGACTTTGAGATGTTCTACGAGGTCTGGGAGAAGTTCGACCCTGATGCCACTCAGTTCATAGAATTCTGCAAGCTCTCTGACTTTGCAGCCGCGCTGGATCCTCCTCTGCTTATCGCAAAGCCCAACAAAGTCCAGCTCATCGCCATGGACCTGCCCATGGTCAGTGGAGACCGGATCCACTGCCTGGACATCTTATTTGCTTTTACAAAGCGGGTTTTGGGTGAGAGTGGAGAGATGGATGCCCTCCGCATACAGATGGAAGAGCGGTTCATGGCCTCAAATCCCTCCAAAGTCTCTTATGAACCCATCACCACCACTTTGAAACGCAAACAAGAGGAGGTGTCTGCTATTGTTATCCAGCGAGCTTACAGGCGCTATCTCCTAAAGCAGAAAGTTAAGAAAGTTTCATCTATATATAAGAAAGACAAGGGCAAAGAAGGCGAGGGAACACCAATCAAAGAAGACATCCTCATGGATAAACTAAACGAGAATTCAACTCCAGAGAAAACTGACGTGACACCTTCTACCACTTCACCACCTTCATACGATAGTGTGACCAAACCAGAGAAGGAAAAATTTGAAAAGGACAAATCAGAGAAAGAGGACAAAGGAAAAGATATCAGGGAAAGTAAAAAGTAAAAAGAAACCAAGAATATTCCATTTTGTGATCAACTGTTTACAGCCTGTGTTGGTGATGCATCTGTGGATTCCCTCAGGAGGTCTATGCCAGACTGACTGTTTCTACAAATGTATTCTTAAGGTCAGTGCCTATAACAAGACAGGGACCTCTGGTCAGCAAACTGGGACTCACTAAGCCAGAGAAACAGCACTGACAGGTTTCTGTTTCCACAACCAGCTGACACTGCTGAAGAGTGCAATGGCTACTCAGACTATAGGAACCAATCGAAAGGGGGGGAGGGAAGTTAAATTTTTATGTAAATCTAACACATGACACTTGATAACAGTAAATGTCACCACTGTTTGTGTTTTAACTGCCACATCTGCCATATTTTTACAAAATGTGTGCTGTGAATTTATCACCTTTTTTTTTTAATTCACAGGTTGTTTACTCTTATATGTGACTATTTTTGTAAATGGGTTTATGTTTGGGGAGAGGGATTAAGAGGGGATTCTACATTTCTCTATGTATAACGGAATATATTTTAAAATGAAGGCATGCTGCAATTCTCATTCACATATGAAAATATCACATCACAAGAGGAAAGAGTTTACTTCTTATTTCAGGATGTTTTTAGATTTTTGAGGTGCTTAAATAGCTATTCATATTTTTAAGGTGTTTCATCCAGAAAAAAATTTAATGTGCCTGTAAATGTTCCATAGAATCACAAACATCAAAGAATTATTTTATTTTTACATAATCCATTATATGTACATGTATATATGTATATATGTATATGGATGTGTATATACATATATACACACATGCACACACAGAGACACACATACCATCACATAGTCATTCCAAGTCCTGGCAGCATGACTATAACATTTTTGATAAGTGTCCTTTGGCTTAAAATACAAATATCCTATCAGTCCTTTCTAAGAAACCTGAACTGACCAAAAAGCACCCCTACCGCCACTTTATAAAGTTGAGTCTGCTTTTTCCTGCAGTATTGTTTAGCCATCTTCTGCTCTTGGTAAGGTTGACATAGCGTATGTCAATTAAAAAATAAATAAATAAAAGTCTGCTTTGTAAATAGTCACTTTACCCAGTGGTGCATGTTTGAACAAACAAAAATGATGATTTAAGCACAGTATTTACTGCATCAAATATGTACCACAGTAAGTATAGTTTGCAAGCTTTCAACAGGTGATTGCCATTGGTTCCCTTAGAGTTTGGAGCTGTCACTGCTGCATGTCTCTCTTGCTGATGCTGCTGAATCTTATTCCTTCCACTGTTCAGAAGTCTAATTGGGGAAGCCATATGTCAGTGGTGAAGTGAAGAGAATTGTTCGATCCAGACCTCATCCTTCATGTCATGAGCAATAGGTTGCAGCAAACAACAAAGAGCTTCTTGCTTTTCATTCTTCCAATCCCATCTGAAGAGCCTGTGATGAAAAGTCTGACTGCAGAAACACGTTCTAAGCTGCTTGGATCTGTTGAAATGTTTGGTTAGAGTTTTCTAAGAAAATATAAATACTGTAAAAAGGTTCATTTTATTTTATTTTTCAGCCTTTTGTACATAAAATGAGAAATTAAAAGTATCTTCAGGTTGATGTCGCAGTCACAGCGTTAGTTTCTGTTGCCAGCACTTTTAATTAAAGCACTCCACAAAGTAAGAAATAAGGACAAGATGCAGTGTAGGTTTCTGCTTTTGTTCTTAGTACTGTGAACTTGCACACATTGCCACATGAAACAGTTCTCACACGGAGTCCGATGTTTATTTGCTTTCGGTAGTAATACCTTATCAGTAAAAGAAGGTTCTTCAAAGATCGGTTGAAGTTTTGGCATTACTTAAATCTGATGTTTCCACCTGGTCTTTTTTCCCAGTTCTCATCAGACTTTTGTAATGTTTGTTTACACAGATAGACAGATAGAATCTTATTGATCTATACGGCAGTAGAACCGTATCAGAAATGATGCAGAAATCAAGCTTTCTCTCTCCTTTCTTCTTTCTCTTTCCCTTTCTTTCTTTCTTTCTTTCTTTCTTTCTTTCTTTCTTTCTTTCTTTCTTTCTTTCTTTCTTTCTTTCTTCCACAAAACCAGGTAGTGGAATTATATTACCAGTTATAGCAAAACATTTTGTTTCACAAACAACATTCAGCATAGATTCTTTATACTGAAACTGTTGGCTTGTAGTGTATGGGTGAATGCATGCAGGAAAATGCTATTACCATACAGAGCAGTAAGCCACATTGCAATCAAGCTGAAAGAATAAAGATTTTGCTTTGGTTTTTTTGTATTTAATTGTTCTGTCTATGTTTCTATCTTTGAAATGCCATTTAGAGGTAAATTTCTATCCTGTAAAAATGATCTATCTGAAAAAAATAAATGTAAAGAATACACATTAAATATAATTCATCTTTAAATTTTTCATGGAATGGAAATTAAGAAGAGTGTATTGGATATCTAGTTTTAATATTGGCCAAAACCCTAGATATGGTACTGGGTAGAGTAGTGGAAAGTTACAAAAAATTAATAAAAAAAATTGACTAACATTTTAAGTTGTGCATCCTTTCTCCTCCCCGTTACCTGTGGTTTAGTTTTGTTTTTCACTTCCCCATTTCATTATATATTCTTTGCTTGTTTGTTTGTTTTGTTTCTTGAGACAGAGTCTCCTTGTAGCCCCAGCTGATCTGGAACTTGCAATGTAGACCATCCCAGACTGATCTGGATCTTACAGAGATCTACCTGCCTCTGCCTCCCTAGCACTGGGATTAATGGCATGCTTCACCACGCCTGACTTGCCTTCCTTGTTTTAGTCTCCTACTTTTTCCTCCCTCCTTTGGAACTTGGCAGTTTTCCTAGAGGATATTTTCCTTGTTTCTTTTTCTATTTTCTAGCTGCTTTGTTTATGTCTCTGTGTACATGGGCCCCTAATAATATCCTGCTACTTTGTAGAGTACGTATACTATCTACAATTCATTTTTTCAGTTTGCTTAGCAAAGCTTCTAAGAAAGCTTAAACCAATTCTTCATCATATAAAACAGATATTGAAAAGTCACAAATTTGGTTTTCCCATTTAATTATGAACAATTATAGAAGTGTTTCTCAGCTTTGATTGCATGTTAGAATGATTTGGCAAGAAATGCCAATGTGTGGATGGAGAGCAATGGAGAGCAAGCCGGTTGGTTGGACCCTTGTCTTTGGAAATGAGGCTTGGGCATCTAAGATTTTTAAGGCTCTTCACTAATGTTGAATCATACTAAACATTGAGAACCCATGAGTTAGGCTTCCCTTGTCCAATAGGAAAAAGGAAATGTTCTATCAAAAAATAAATAAACGTATCTGTCCCTTTCAAAGCCAATCATTTAGCTCATTGTGTACAGAGGATGCTAAGAAGATTCTGAAGTGTTTATCTCACAATATGAGTAACTGATGTTGATCTACTTAAACTCTTTGTTATTATATTTGGTGGAAAATATTAGATTAGAATGTATGCCATATGTGTGCAGGTGCCAAAAACGGATTCCCTCTTCTTTAGGGTCAGTCATAAAGAAAGAGCAGATACAGGTACCCAAGCCCATGTCAATGAAGATAGGAAGAGAGTGACTAGTTGATAGGCACCTCCTTTTCTCATGGTCACTCATGGAAAAAGGATAAGAAGATCTCTGGGGGAATGGTCTGGAAAGGGAGACACAAAGATTTGAGAGACATTCCAAAACATTTTCTTTTGTCTTAGAGGTGGTTAACCATCTATCATACAGACTATACTGGCAAAGTAACTCAGGCCTAACTTAAAAAGGCTCCCCACACTCTAGCCTTACCCATAAGGATCTCCTTGATTGTCAGGCCTTAAGAAAGAAACACTGATGTTTTTGTGCACTCAACCTTGCCTGGATAAAAACCAGAGGACAAAAAGTAGCCTCTACTGGTAGATATCAGGAGGAAGGGTACTTACTGCCTTTCAGGTTGTCTTTCTCCATTTACAGACACAAGCTACCTGTTTATGTATAAGCTTTCATTCATCTGGTCACCTCAAGTACAAGCAGGGAGGACTGCCGGTTTGACACTCGTAAAGGCAGATATTTCTGACAGTTTGATCCTATTTGATCATGGGTGTTCACTGGCATGTACACATGACTTCATAAAGTTTAAAAATATCAGGTGACCTCTTAAAATCAAATGTTCTGTCTCTTATCAATTCTTGTTCCCAGTACAAGATCCAACAGATAAGAAGCCTCACTAAGCAAATGTATGCAGGTTATAAGGAGGACAGATGCTTTCAGTCCAGCCAGCAGTCACTGGACTCAACAACTCCCCTGTCTAATGTAACCCACTCAGTTAAGGTCTACAGAGAAATAAATGTCTTTTGTATACAAATTCTATTGGTAAATTGTTATGTGCCATTTGAGCTCATGGAGAAGCAGACTCTGGAGATGGGATTGGCCCTCCCACTTCAGGTTCAAGCAGGTTTATCTCAAAATGATCTTCAAGACTCTTGTCAGGCTAGCACCCTGACTCTATGACATGGAAGAAGGAAAACAACAAAACAACCCCAAAATAAAGACATTGTGGCCTTGAGAACAGCTAAAAGATAAACTAACTTCAACAGAACTTACCATTTTTGGTCTCATGACCTAAACATGTCTATAGTAAAAGCAGGGAATTTTCCATTTTTTACAGCAACAAGAAAAGTAGTGCAGGCTAAAGCAAACGAATAATGAACACCAAGATTTACCAAACACTTAATGAAAGAACCAACAGGGTAGATTTTAAGAAGAAATAAAAGACTGTTTACCATCCATGGAAAGGACAGAGGGCCCTCCACCTAAAATTCCTCAGTCAGTAAGTCCGGCATCACAATTTTCCTTAGTTAATTTCTGCTGGGCGCTGTAAGCATGAATTTGACAATGTTTTGCTATGTACCTGCAGCTTCTCTCTACCTACTGCTTACACCCATTCAAAACCTAAAGTATGGTTTTGGTAGACCACCCTGAGCTTCACAAAGTAAAAAAGGGTTTTGACAGCTTTATGTTTTCTATAAGGGTTACCTGGGCTATTATAAAGCCCCATTGTATACACAGGTAATACTAATTTATACATTATCTTATGTATATAATTAGGATTCAAGGTTCTTTCAATAAGATGATTCTGTATAGCACTCTTTCTGAGCCAAACAACTGCCATCTTCATGACTTCAGCTGTGCCTACTTGCAAAAGATCATCACAATTGGACTCACTATTGTGTCCCTACATAAAAGGAGGAGTAAGCAGAATCATTGGTCCCTCATCTGAGTATCCAGCCACTCTTCTCAGCCAGTTGTGTATAATTCTGCCCTAGTCACATGTGGACTCCTTGTTTTGAGGAAGACTAAAGTAGATAACCTGAGGAAGGCTAAGAAGAGGGGTCTTGACCCATGAGGCTATGGGGAAAACAACATCCATGCTGGATAAAGACTTTCAGTGCAACTGCTCTTAGGTCACCCATGCACCTATCAGTAATCCCTCACTGAGTTAGTAAATACAATAAACTCATTGGTTCTCCAGGGTGAACTTTAGTACAAGCAAACATTGGTTTGGCATTAAAACCTTAGAAAAGGGGTAAACATTGCTTAGAACCCCAGGGAAGAACATTGTCACAACATATGGCAAATCTGTTATTACTATCATGTCTCGTGGTATTAAGAAAGGAAATGAGAAAATGAAAGATGTTAGAAGGATACAGAAATGGGTACACTGCATTAAGAATGATTTATGTATGAAGATTAAGATTGCTAGATCTTTCCAGAATAAAAAAGAAAATGAGAAAGTTTATACAAGTGATGAAGGTCTGAGTAGATTTGTTAAGGCATACAAAAGATGAGATTTAGAGATGACATATAGATCATCTTCAAATTTCTAAGGTCAAAATTCAATCAAACATCTACTTAAATTAATGGAGCTATTGCTCTAGCCTTGTTAACAATTATGAGAACTGTCTTAAGGAACAAAATATATGTTTAATCATTGTTTATTCAAGAGTGTTTGGATTTTTATCAAGCTTTATCTATATATTACACAGTAATTAAAAGTGCCAGACTGATGCAACTAACCTTCTTAAGTATAAATAACCATACCTGGAGGATATTAATGTGGGTAGAGGGAGTTAAAAGGAAAAAATTTTCTTCTTTTCCTCCAAGGTCAACTAAGTCCCAAGGGACTATGGGGAATCTCTTAAAATGTCCTGTTACTGTGATGAATCACCTGTCCTCTTGTTCAGGGAGGCCATGGAGACCACACTAGATGGACTTAACCTGGTGTCCAGTCTAAGAAGAGGAGGGTCAACACAGGAAAGTTTCTCCAGTGCTTTTAAGGAGAGTCACAATCAAGTAAAGTCTTTGACTTATCCTCACATAGATGGAATAATTGGTAAAAGGAACGCCAAGCAGTCAGAGGCTCCTCCCAAGCCCATGTGATCTCTGAAGACCAGATCCTCAACTGCCCCTAAAAGTAAAAAAAATGGTTAATTTGGGCCAACTGCAGGTCTTAAACACTCAATAGGAAAGTTTAACCAGAGAGTAAAGTGATTGGTATGTTTCTCTAAGAGTCTAAGAGACTGCACTTCTCAAACATTAGGCTTAAGTTCATATAAGATGTAATTCAGACAATTAATTTTCACAAGTGATTTTATTCTTAATAAAAAAAAAATGTTGCCCGGGTATAAGACTTCAGACTTTGGTCCAATTCAACATTGTATACCAATGTGTAGCTAAAAGAGATAGACCCTCTATTGTTGAAACCTAAAAATAAAATGATTGCTAAATTTCTTTTCTCTCCCCATCTAGAAGCCATTTAGGAGGGAACTCACATGGGGATTCTAGCCAGTCCAAGAGCTAGCAAAGTGTCTGAAAGCAAATTCTGAGTTCGTCACTCTCAAGTTTAGCCTTGGAGGCCAAAAGAAAAACAAGGAGGAGCCAAATAGACAGACGCTCTTGGAAGACGTCATCAAGAGATTATAATGGACTTTGATTTGAACATTTAAAACACCCTCTGTTCTGATTTTTCCTCATTCTCTACCTAGAAGTTGTAATGCGAACTACTCTTGCCTTTACTTACCTCTCTCATCTCCTCCCAGGCATCAGTCAAGCAATTTCTTTTCTCCCTACAGCTAACAGTTACATATTTTGGGGGTCTTTTAGACAGGCCTACTAAAGGGATGCTCTAATTGCCACACCCAACACATCCATTCAGCATGGAAGAAGCTAGAGTTGTCATAGACCCAATTCCTTCTTGGCACATAGGGTAACCTCTTCAGAGGGGTGCATGATAAGAATACAGAGTAGAAATTGACTAGGTTGTTTAGGGTAAAAAGATCACAAAGATAATAACCAGTTTCTTGGCTAAAAGCCAGTTTCTTTGGGCCTCTTGGCAGCCTACTCTGTGACAGAGGTCAGAGATTCCAAGAGCATTTGAGGGTTTTGATCTGATTCCTAAAAGATTTTAGAGTTAGCCCTCCAGGAACTGTTAAAGCAGCAAAATTTCCATGGGAGAAGGATGGTCAGGAGAATATCTCTGG